TCAATACATTAAATGTACATTTGCTCAATTAAATGATGTAATAGCTATATTTACTGTATCCATAGGGAACATAGTACACATGCAGCAGAACCAATGGCACCTCCTTCCACCTTTAGACCTCCTGCACGTCTGGTCATGTCTGCAATGTTAATAAATGATGGAGAGAGCAGCATCATTCATTATACAGTCTATGACCTGTGGCAGATTCTGAATAATTTCACTTACTTATTTATTTTATTTTATTTTACTTTATTTTTTACATGTAATATATTGTATTTTGTTGTTTTTACTCTGGTGCACATTTCTTTATGCAACCTTAAGTGGGGCTGTTATGCAAAAATAAAGGTGGCATTAATCATCATGTGGCATGCAGTTATACTGTAGTACACTATATAGTGTCCACACTTGATTGTACACCTAAGGGATTAGAGAGTGAAGTGTGTGTACACACTATTTTTTACTATAAAACTTTATGAAGTAGGTCAGATAAATACTTACCAACAAATACCAATAGGCTTCACAGTAGTTGAAGATATGTGTACCATTTACTTCATGTGTAGAGCCTCTTCATGAGTATCTGCTGTCACATCCCCCCTATATCTTGGGTATTTGCCCTGAGGCTGCTTCATTATATCCTACTCACACCAGAGAAATACACCATCTGCTTTCCATACGTAACACTCTTAATACCGTCACTTTACCTGCATACTGTTTATTTTATACGTTTATTTTTAGCAAACACGAGACAGACGCACACACGCTTCATTCTTTGCCTCTGGATATATTTGATTCCGAGCATGTGCTCAGTGAGTGCCTGTGCATTTTATCCACATGGTAATGCTGCTTTTATGATGCAGCCTTGAGAGCGTATTTACTTTTTTCTTTTGGTTTTAAAATCCCTAAAGCTCTTAATTCTGCAGATATTTTGAAGTTCTGATTTCAAAGCAAACACAACATTTGGAATAAGCTATTGCTAATGAAATGGTGACGGTGCAAAAAGCATTTGATAAAAATAAATCAAAAGAATGATGAAATAGATGTAATTATATTAACTGCATAGTTGCCACAGCCAGCCAACAGAAAGTCAGCAGAGCTTATAAAAATGACACATTTTAATTAAAAACACTGTCTCCTGCATGAAATCTGGATCTATGCACCTTTTAAAATATTGTGTTTACAGTAGGTGTACAGCTCCCCAGGAGAGCTGAGCTCTACACTACAGTACCCTGGAAAGCCATGAAGTCAAGGCGGCCAGCAGCTGCAGATTGGCCACAGACTGGTATATGTCTCTACTGAGGCACAGGTCCTTCATCCAGTCATCACTAATCATCTTGCACAGAGAAACAATTCAAATAAATTTTGTTGTATTAGAAAACCAAACTAATGGAGCAGACTCTCAGATAAATTCACTCAGTCCACATTTTCCAGTTTCCATCCCACCAACACAGCACAGCATTGTCTTCACCTCCTACTCCACAGATGACTTTAGGCAATTCTACCATCTCTCAACGCTGCACTAATGTGACAAACATATAAGAAAATACACGCCAAGTGCACAGAACATGCAACGGAAGCATTGTAATCTCACAGTCGACCCAACTGAACATTGGTAGCACAACTGAGGAAAGCATTTGGAGCTTGGTGCGTGCTCACAGCATGCTGTTCCGATTTGTCCCCACTGTTTGGCGAGGGAATCTCAAGGAAGAATTAGGGAATGCTGAACATGGGGTTGATGCTCACAGCAGCGCCACTTAGCCCTTATCAAACCCAGCATTGCCTTAGAGAGAAGAACATAATTCTTCTCATTTGGTTTGTTTTGTTTTCGCCTCTCAGAAGAGGCCCTCAGTCTGGCACGCACATGCGTTTGGCTCCTCTCTGTGGAGACGTAAATCCTTTTACACGCCGTCCTGCCAAACCACCCTGCAGGCAGACTTTGCATTTGAAATGTACAATTAGTTACTCATGTTTGTTTTGAATGCAACATTTTGGAGACAGCAGGCCCAGGGGCAGCACAAATAAAATGGCAGCCCTGACCTCATGCATTGTTCTCCCTTGTTGTTGGTTCTTCTTCTTTTTTTTATCTTTCCTGCTCTTTCCTTTCCTTCTCATTCCACTCTCATATCCTTAGATGAACTCAAAGTCTGTGTTGACACCTGAAGGGAGAATGAAGTGCATCTGCACTCCCGTCTGCTTGGTGGCTTCATTGACTGCAGGATGTGTTTTGGCAGGAGTGTAAACAGCCTGCTGGAGCTTCCTGGTCAGGGTTGAGGGAGTAGATGGGATAAACGGAGCTGCTTCATCTAATCAGTCGGACCGGCCACGAGCTGCAGAGCCAGCTGTAGCAGGTGAGGCAAAAATCTGCTTGTAATAGCTGCTTCCATCATGGACCCCCAGTGCACCCAACTTCCTCACTGTGACTTATCTAAAGTCACAGTGTGATGCTGCTCCACTGGCAGATTCATGGCTTTATTTGCAAACACCACATAAAGGATTAAAATCCAGTTCAACAATTTTGAAATCTATGGTGTTTCAATACAAATGCGTGCTTTTCCATGCATGAGTTTCCTTTTTTCTTTTTTTTTTACCTCCTCCTACAAGGACTGAATGGTTTTGGATGAATACAATTGCAGGGGTGGATGCAGAGAAATTCCACAGAGTATTTTGTGCTGCTTATATAAACATGCGCTAAATATAGAAATATTCTTTTATATTGTAAAATTATTTCTACAAATTGTGTAGCTGTTAGAACCATCAGCCTTTATTGTACTGTATATACAGTCAGGTTTATGAATCATAAAGGCCATTTAATTTATCAGTGCAAACAAAAAAGCAACCCATGGCTGAAAACACAAAACAAGTGACGTTTGTTTGAGCAGTTCAACACTTCCTGTTGTTGCGTCAAATTTTCTTTCACAAAGACTCATGCTGTAAATTTCCCCATTGTGGAACAAATAAAGAACTGATTTTTTTTTATGTCCACATAATATCACGTCATAAAGAATATTTCATTGTTGTAAGTGTAAAAGCAAGCGCACCAACACACAAGAAGTCATGAACTCATCTGACCCATCAAAGTTAATGTACAACAGAATGTTCTGTCAAAAGACGATCCTACTTCCCCTGGAGGGCGGCAGCTCTTACTACATGTCACTGCTTCCATAAATGGACACAGTCTGTAAATTGTTATTACACCGTTTATTGTAATCCCTGACTGTGTGTGGCATAAAGCGTTTATTGCGACTGGTTTTGCAGACAGCGATCAGATACTTAGATGTTTTTCAATCTCTATTCACTCATAAAAAAGTACAGAGACATTGTAAATGTGCATCATTTCCTGGCTGTGTTTGCTCAGCAGCACACAGAAGTGAAAGCAACCACTCATGCTGAACAGGATGAAGTCCGTGCAATCTCCCCGCACATTTTCTTCAAAGATACCAAGTGTATTCATTGTCTCTTTTCCATACAGAGAAAAACATCAGAAAGGAAATGAAGCTAGCTGAGGAAGTGGGTGGAGGGTGGAGTGGGACTATTTTTCAAAATTTCTTTCCCAGATGCAACAATGGGCTGAGTCAATGAACACAACTTCTAGACACTTTCACAGCGAACAGAACTCCCCAGCACCTGAGATTCTGTTATGTGTGATTGACTGAGTGGCAGATATCAACAGCACTGAATATTTTTTAAAGACCTTAAGTGTGTAAACTTAATAACATTTGATAAAAGTGGTGCAGAAGATAAAAATGATTTAGAATTTTAAATCCAATTGTTGGTGATGCATTTACAGGCCCAACAACTGTCAAATGGAATGAGGAAATCGACTTCACTATAGTTTCACACTATGAAACTCTTGACATGTTGTACAACAGTGATTCTTAACCATAGGTCCGTGGCCCAAGTTTGGGCCACCAGTGTCACCTAAAGGCTGCAATAAATCAGTCTTTCTGACTAGGCTACGCCAGCAGAAGCAAAGGGTATAGAGTTTTTCAACTGAAAAATGAAGACGGATGCCGCCTGGACCCCTCCCCAATTGGGTAGAGTTTGTGGGTAAAGGCAAGTGAGCAGAAGAAAAAAATACACAAAAACTTCAGCTTTAATGGGGCTGAAGTTAAAAGGAATGGTGAGCCGATCTGTTTCTTTTAATGAATCAGACGTGATAAGACGGCCGGAGCAGGTTTTCACAGACACTTATTTTAATTGGAGTTCTCAGAAGAAGCTTTTCATCCATCCTCTTTATTCATGTTCTTTCATGAGGACGGCACTGAGACGTCCAATAAGTTGAAACGCTGACAGAGATCCTGTGACACATGATCTCCCCCACGATAAAGACCATGTCCATTTAGCCAAGTTCAAGCCTCGCTAGTTTTAAGCCTGTAAGCCTGTCTTCACGCGTTGCAGCGTGTGCGTCATGATCGTACTGAACTCTACTGTTTGAAGTTATTGTACTTGGTTGGAGTCGCTACAACTGCTCTGGACGGAATGTCAGCACTTTCAGCGACTTGCAGAGCTCAGGAAGAAACTTTGTCTCTGCCTTTGATCAAAATCTTCCTTTTTGTTGCCCAAGCAGGAAGTGCTGGAAGTTCCTGTTTATGTCTGAGCATTGGAATCTGTTTTTGTCCGACTCAGCAAATTGTGGCGACTGTGGGCGAAGAATGTGTGTGTAATTTGAACACTGAGAATGTCACCTACTGCCAAGGGACGAGTGGAACCTATAACAAAATTGTTTGTGGACAATTTTGTTTTCTGCAAGAATAGACAAATATATGTATAAGTAATATACATAATTGTAATAAGTTTAATTGTACAAGTAAATAAAATGTCGAAATAATTAATAATATATTTAATAAATGACAGATTAGTACAAACTTGCAGTACTGTTAACGATTTTATATGCAACATTTGAGGTTTTTTGTGATTAAGAATCACAGAGACTACAGACAGAATCACAAGCATGATGAAAAATAAAGACCAAATACACAGTGGAACAAACATACTGTGCCTACCTAGGGGTTGGGACGAGGCGCTACACTCACCGGAGACCATTTTTCAAATAAAGCTAAACAAACTCTTACATTGAATGATCGACTGATCTCCCTTCCTCATATAGTTATAAAGATTAATTATCAACTTTCTCAACAGTGAAAAAAGAGAAGTGCACACTCACACAATCATGTGTAACTCAACACCTCTGTCAAGAGGAACTATGCCACATTGCACAAAAACAAAATGGGGGCAGGGTGTAAAGAATAAGAAATGTCTTGCAAGGAAATTTAGTAAGGGGAAGTAAGGAAAATAAGTCAGATCTTAATTTTTCTTTTGGCAAAAACGTTTCATTGAAATGAAAATGTTTAAGATTTGCCTTTGTGTTTCACATATTTAACCATAGTTGTTATGCAAAGTGAAGCATTTTATTTAAAGAGTCAGGTGTAAAAGAACGGATGCCCGCTGGGCTGGAGTGTGAGAAACTCAACGATGATGTGCACTCGCCTCATCTTTGCTAACGTCGCACCTTCTGCTCAGCTCACCTCACCCTCCATTTGCTTCTGACAGACTGAAATCAGGGTGTGCATGTGTGTCAAGCTGTGCCACGGAGGGCTGAGGCGTGGGTGTCGATCAGTGAACTGACGCTCTGTGACTCATCTCCAACTATGACGAGCTCCGCTGAACAGAAAGCAGAGTCTCTGCCCCAACAGCCACAAATAGACCCCATCAGTATCATTGCCCCTCACTCCTGCCACGCTAATGGTGATGGTGGTTTTTTGCATTTCCATACACACAATATACTCTACAGTATGTCCTGTGTATAATGGAGTTCTAATGCCTCCAGATGCTAAACCCTAAACATTTTTTTATATTGTTGTATAATTTATTCCAGTTTCACAAAATGACTTTTGACAAACCGAAAACAGAAAAAAAGACAAACAATTTCTGCATTTACCCCAGGCTAATAACATTAACTGATGCAGCAACAATTTTTTTTTTACAAAAATACATTTTTCTTGTGTGTCACTAGTGAATTTTATACCAAAAGATATTTATTTTTAATTGGTAGAATAGTAGTATCGGGACTCCATGGTATCGATATAGCGATACTCCAACAAGTATTGATTAAGTATTGATTACGCTCATTAGGTATTGATATGAACTAATCAATGTCACTGCCACATCTTGTAGGGTAACTGACTGCAAACTAGGTTTTGTGTTGCAACTCCACCCAGTGATGTAAAATTTAATTGATCTGTTCATGTCCCTTGAAGACAACGGTGACTCCATGTGATACAGTCCACTGGACATCTTTGGTTCCCACTATTGCTGTTATTGCATGGTCTTTAGCAAGGTTTCTGGTGTAAAAGGTTCTCCGATCCAACACTTTGTTTTCATCTAAACACAAGGTTGAATCTTCTTATTGTCGCCGTATAAAACGTGTGGTCCTGAAACTAAACCTAAAGTCAGTAATGCTACAAAAATAGCAAAAACAGCCAAAACAGCTAAGAAGAGATGAAACAAAAAAACGGGGAAAAAAGAAAAAAAAACATTTCTAATTAATGATGCAAAAATAGAACTGGAAGGAGACAACTACCAGGCTGGTTTAATCAGTTCCCTGGTACTTTATTAGCTAGACACATGTATCTACAATCATCAACCTTTTATGAACAAATCAGGTCAAGTTGGTAAAGTTTAGACCAAATACCAAAGGAAAAGAAAAGAAAGCAGCGCAGCCAGAAGTGACTGTGAATTCTGAGAGCACAGTTCAGGAACCGTTCACTCTGAGTCGAGCAGAGAGAAGAACTGCTGTAGCCACACAATGTGACTTCTTGTCAGTGACACGACCTAAAGTGATAGTGGCAGCCCACTGTCCTAAGAGGCAGATGGACTTTTCTGACAGGTTTCTCTGAGGTTTTTTGTCTGGCGGAGCGTTGCAGAATGACAGCGGTGTGGAGAACATGGCAGTGGGCTCCGTGCAGCTGCTGTCACTCTTCCTCTCTCATGAATAAAAGCCACACCTGAGCTTTTTACCTGAACAAAATAGGGAGCAGAGGCCACCGGCAGACGAGAACAAGCTGCTGCTGTTTCATAAACCCCTGAGAATCTCCATATTCATGTGGTTCAGGTCCAACCTGTTGGGGACACTAAAAAGGACAATGTCACCCATGCAGACTAAGCGTGGCACTCAATTCTCTTTCAGAGGCGATAAAGGAGGATTCATTGAGGCACATCCATTAAAGTGACACTCCGCATTGGACAATAGGACAATTTAGTACTTTATCTCTCCGTGAGCTCTCTGGACAGTGAACTGTGGACAATATGCCGCAGGGAGCCACGTTCAGAGCCAGACGGTGGGTCAAAGGTGTGCATGTATAGTGCATGATTCACTTCTGACAGGCAGTGCAGTGATGAACGCGCTACCCACAGCCGGGCACTCCACTACAGTCACAATCTCCCGTGCTGCAGCCGTGTAGTCACGGTGATTTATCGCACACAAGCGGCTATGCAAACAAGGTCATTGCAAGAACTCTTTTTTTTTTTTTTTGCAGTCATTAGCAAATCTCTGCTGTCGTGTTGTAAATCCAGCTTACACATTTCTCCTGTCTCTGTCTCAAACCAGAAAAGAAGAATGTTGTCAGATTATTTACATGTGACTTGTGGTTGTCTCTGAAGTGATTCTAATTGGCAAATAATCACCTCTAACAGTAGGATTCCAAGAAATGGCACATTCCAAGGAATTGGAATCCATTCTATCCTATAATTGTCCATCACCGAGTCGAGCGTATGGGCTACAGATATGAACTGATTGGCTGTATGAAAATAATACTTTACTAGAAATCATGACTTCTATCTATCCATCCATCCATCCAGCCAGCCAGCCAGCCAGAAAGCCAGACAGCCAGACAGCCAGCTTGACCAGTGAGCCAGCTAGCTATCTTACTACAACTCATCACAGATCCTGCTAGATGTTCAACCACAATATGCAGCGTTGCCCACTAGATGTTGCTAAATGTCACACAGTCAACGTGTAAGGCTAAAGATGCTGCTGTGAATGTAGCTTTGGTGTTTAAGGCTTAAGGGGAACAGTGTAGGCTGGACTAATTAACTCCAGTGAGCAAACACCACACACTCTACAGCGGTAAATATTATCATTGAGTTATAAAAGACTGTAAATATTTTAATTTTACTTTTACTACGGAGTAAAGTGGCTCAGAGGGCCGACTGTAAAAGTCCGGTCATCTAAGGACAACAGAAAGACACGAATGACGTCGGAATTCTTAACATAAGACACATTATGAAGTTATTTCCTAACATAATAACTTTCTTAGAAATTCTTTAAATTATATATCTTTAAATTATCGTCAGACTTAAGCCTTTTTTTTAAAAAAAAAAATCTTTTTGTTAGTAGATTATACTAATCCAGGGTTCTCAAACAAAACTAGATTGAGCGCCACTGCTGCCACTGTTATCGAGTCACATGAGTCATCAATGTTCAAAAAAATATATGTGTTTTTTAAAAATAATCTTATAAATAGTGTATAATACCACGATGTAACAAGTACACCAAACTAATGAACAAACAAAACAAATAAAAATTAGTAGAAAGAGACTTTCGTCAACAGCAAATTTAAAACATTATTGACATGTAGTTGAAGTTTGGGAGGTTTATAGACTGAAAGTGAATCCAAAGCTAAACTAAATGTATACTAATTTTCCTAAAATCTAAATTGAGTTTTCAGATGATAACATCCGTCAAGTCTTCTCCTTTTCACCTGACCGAGACTCTCTGACTCACAACTGCAAATTAAATTTCTTTTCAGCTTTTTTGCTTCCTTTGAGCAGCTGTCAGATTGGTGAAGCTGATCGAGCTCTGATTTATCCAATCCTCTGCCTGAGCATTTAGCTGTGTGAGCGCGTGGGTGAGGCGGGGGAGTTTCACATTAAGGAAGGGACTGTCTGAGCACTGAGACAGATTTTATAAAATTTTCTTTTTTTTTTAAAAAACAATGCTTATCGTTTTAATACATTAACTGAAAATTACTTTAACTTCCGACTTGTTTTGTAAACAGACGTCTAAAACCGAGCGCAGCTTTTAAGGCATTTTTAAACGAGTTCCAACCCTAAACTGTTCTCCTGTGCATCATTTATCTGCTGCTACTTCATTTCCCTTATTGAATTTGGGGGGATTCTCTTTTCATCACTGCACTCTGACTGTCCGTGCCTTTATATCGTGGCTTATTTACTTATTTCTCCTCATTTTTCGCTACTTAAATTTTCATTATTTGATTTTTTTTTTGTGTGCTCGTGTATTCACTCGCCCAAAGAATTCCTTTAACGACCACTGGGAGTTAAACAGTGGTGATTTAAATGGCAGTTTAATACAGACTGAATTACTCCCCTCATGACTTGAACTGCATTTCATTCGCTTATATCCCAGTTCACATCTGCAGCTTGACGATTGAGCCACCAATGGGACGTGCAGCGTGCAGTTAATCGGCACATGAATGCCACGCCACTGGAAGTTGCTAAAAGTGACGTTTTTTTTAACTGGTTGATTTTTTTATTATTATTTGAGCCTAAAATGTAAAAGTAGCTGTGAGACTTGAACGATGAATAGTCAGCTGATGGCTCCACCTGCTGTATGACACTGACCACTGGTCACTGATGTCATATGATGGCAGCACATGGATCCTCCAAGTCTAAAGCTTCAGCCAGGTAATGTGTTCTTGTCTTTATTAGCCTAGATTTGGTCCCTAATGAAACTCCAGATCCAGAAATATCTTTTCATAACAAGAGCCCACCAATAATTCAATTGGACATTCGGGGAATAGTCTGTTTTAAGCACCAAATTCCAGAAAAGTAGGTCACACTTTCCCATAGCGATTGCAGGAAGTTTCCAGAGTCGTTCGAAATGATTTAATATGCTTAAAAGTCTGGAGGAAATTCAACAAAAGTGTGTTGAAGTGTGTGCCACTGTTCTTACTGTGCAATAAAATACAATAAAATTGGAAAATGTGTGCCTGAAGAAAGCATGATATTAGATATCGAGTCAAATGTGAAAAGAATTCCCACAGTTTCCTCT